CTTGTATTCTTGGGAAAAGGGAAACATTAGTGATAGAGTATATCCTTTTTGTCTGTATTGATTGATTTGATTCTCTGAAATATATTTTAGAATTAATATCTAGGATAGATAGTTGCCTGGTATTTTCTTTGTTTGAAGTATTTAAATTAGACTTTACTCTAAATTTTGTGCTTCTTCTTATTTCCTAAGGTAGAAAGTTAGATTGTTGGTTTAAATCAGTCTTGGTAAACTGATCTCCACTGTCTTTCTCTGCATTTACTTTCTCATGAAAACTGTTTGTACCTATTTTTCCTGCTGTAATTCTGTTAGAATTTCACAAATTGGAAATTTTTCTTTTTTAAATATTTGAAAATATTCAGCAATGAAGCTATTTTTAGAAATTTGAAGTTTTGTTTTCTCATTGAGTTTATTGGTACATTTTAGGTATAAAGTACAGTTACATTCATCATTGGGATCTTGTATGGTTACATGACAGGTCTTTGTTCTCATTTCTTACCCTTGTCCCTGCCCTCCCTTCACCCCCTCCTCCCCTCCCCATTTACAAACACTTTATTTCCATTTTCTCATATTTTTTCTTTTCCCTTATTCCCTTTCCCCTACCCTTCTCACTTTCCCTACACCTTTAGCCCCTTTCTTCCTATTTCATATTGTCAATTATCTCATTAGGATCTTATGTACTATTATAGTTTTTCACACCAGAGAAGCTATTTGGTGTTTACACATGTGTGACTTATTTCACTTAGGAGTATATCCTCAATATGTATCCATTTTCCTATGAATGAATCTAATTTCTCATTCTTTATGGCTGAGTAGTATTCCATTTTATAGAAAAACCACATCTTCTTTATCCAGTTTCCAACTGATGGGAAAATGGGCTATTTCCAAGCTTTACCTACTACAAACTGTGCTGCTATAAACATAGATGTGCATATATCACTGTGATATGATTATTTTAATTCTTTTGAAAAGATATCCAGCAGAAGGATGGCTGGGTCAAATGGAACCTCTTGTCCCAGCTTTTTGAGGTATCTCCATATTGATTTCCACAGTGGTTGCACCAGTCTGAACTCCCATCAACAATGAGAAGGGTTCCTTTCTCCCACAACCCCGCCAACATATGTTATTGTTTGATTTCTTGATAGCAGCCATTCTATGTGGGGTGCAGAGGAATCTCAGTGTTATTTTCATCTGTATCTCTCAAATGACCAGTGATGTGGAACATTTTTTCAAATATTTACTTGCTGCTTTTACTTCTTTGTTTGAGAAATATCTGTTGATTTCAGATGCCCATTTTTGAATTGGGACTTTATATTTTGGGGGAGACTGATTGTTTTGAGTTCTTTATATATTCTAAATAATAGTCCTTTGTCTGAAGAGCAGCTGCTAAAACTTTTTTCCCACATTGTAGGTTGTCTTTTAGTTCTGCCTAACTTACATTCCAGCAGATTTAGTGTCTCTTTTTTAATATTTAGATCTTTAATCCACTTGGATTTTAGTTTAGTGCAGAGTGAAAGATAAGGGTCTAGTTTTAATCTTTGGCAAGTTGAAATCCAGTTTTTCAAACACCATTTATTAAAGAAGCTATCTTTCCTCCACTAAGGATGGTGGGCTCCTCTGTCAAAAATGAGGTAGCTGAGTACTTATGGACTTGTTTTTGTATCTTCCAATCTATTCCACTGATCCTCAGATCTATTTCTTTGCCAGTACCAACCTGTTTTTATCACAGTGGCTTTGTAGTATACTTTCAAACTGGGAATTGTTATACCCACTGCAGTGTCTTTGCTGCCTAGGATGACTTTTGCTATTCTAGGTCTCTTCTGGTTCCAAATGAATTTTTGGATTTTTTTTTCTAGTTCTGTGAAACATAGTGTTGGAATTTCTGTTGGTATTTCAAGGAATCTGTATAGCAGTTTTGGTAGTTTGGCCATTTTCACTATGTTGATTCTTCCTACCCAGGGGCAGGGGATATCTTTACATTTTCTTATATCCTTTTTGATCTCTTTTTTTCACAGTGCTGTAGGTGTCAATGTAGAGAGAGGTCTTCTGCTTCTTTCGTTGGATTGATTCCTAGATACTTCATTTTTTTGGATGCTATTATGAAAAGAATTGTTTCCCTAATTTCTCTCTCAGTGTACAAGTAGGCTATTGTTTTTTGAGTGTTGACCTTGCATCCAGCTACTCTGCTAAAAGTGTCAATTAAGTCTAGGAGTCTTTTGGTGGAATTTTTTGGGTCTTCAATGTAGAGTATCATATCATCAGCAAATAATGACTGCTTATCTTCTTCTGTTCTTATCTTTATTGCTTTAATTTCTTTCTCTTGTCTAATTGCTGTGGTTAATGTTTTCAGAACTATATTGAAGAGGAGTGGTGATAGTGGGCATCCTTGTCTTGTTCCTGATTTTAAAGTGAAGGTTTTCAGTTTTTAGCCATTTAATATGATGTTGGCTGTTGGTTTTTCATAGATAGCCTTTATTAAGTTGAGATATAGCTCATCCATCCCAATTTTTGCAGGGTTTTTAATCATGAATGGGTGTTGAATTTTGTCAAATGCTTTTTCTGCATCTATCAAGAAGATCATATGACTTCTGTCCTTGACTGTGTTAATATAGTGTATTACATTTATTGACTTACATATGTTGAACCATCCTTGCATCCCTGGTATAAATCTGAGGTGGTCAGGATGTATGATCTTCTTGATGATCCTCTGTAAGGAATTTGAAGGTTTTTAATCATTAATTCAGTATCCTTAACACATATTTCCCTACTCTGGTGTCTGTTTTCCTCTTGTGTCATTTTTATAAGCTATAATTTATGACAATTTAAAAAATATTTGCATATAACTTGTATGATGTTTTCTAAATGTCCACAACTACATGATGTTGTGGTGAAAGTTTCCTTTTAATTATAATGCTGATAAACTGTATTTTTATTCCTTTTTTATTAGCTAATCTTGTTTGATGTTTATTAATTTTACCAGTATTAAAAATCTGCCCTGGATTTGTTGTTTTCTGTTCCACCTTTCTATTTTTTTGCTTTTTAATATTTTCTACTTTTTATTTCCTAGTGATTGACTAGCATGAACACTTTGATCATCAATTTACTGCCTTTCTTCCAAAGTCTGGATTAAGAAAATACATTTTCCTCTGTTCACTTTTCAGCTGCATAAAACACTTTTTGATGTATCAGATCTTTGTAAATATGCAGTTCTAAGCTGTTGGGGTAGCTTAGTGATAGAGTGATTGCTTATTAGGCATGAGACCATGGGATTCAATCCCAAGCACCAAAAAAGAAAGAAATTCTAACTGGTTTACCACTCCATTTAAAGCATGGATCTAGTTAGAACCTTCAGTAGTTAGATTGAAAGATTTGTTTCCTCAGTACTAAATGACTGATAATTTCTTCTAACCCTTTGAAAGATTTGACTCAGCTCTTTGGTTTCTTCCCTTACACAGTCTCAGAATTGCCCTCTGTTTGAGCTTCCTCAAATATGCAGCCTTGTTTCTTCATCCCAAGCAACTACCACAAGTTGGGCTGTTTTTTTGGTCTCATGGCAGAAGAAATGTTGAAGGCCAAAACTGGGATCTTCTTCTAGATTGCAAAGTATCCCTAGGAAAAGATTGTTAGCAATTTTGTACTGTGAAGTCACCATTACTTCCAGAACTTTTAACTCTCTAGAGCTTCTTCTTAAGATTTTTATCTTCTAAGTACCTCTGGACTCGAAAAATTCTAATCTGCCTTCCTGATATTTTGATTTTGCTTTTAGCCTCCACTGTGTGCAAATTTGCAATCTAGCAAAGATCTTAAGGAATGAAATTGATAGGTGTCTGAAGCATCACAAAATCCTCAATTTTTCAGTATAATTCACTCTAGCCTTGCAAGATTTTTAAAAACTGGTTTTTCCTTTCCATGATTCCCACCTTCTAAATCATAGAGCATGACAGTCCCATATTATTACTGCAGATCCATAGCTCACCTCTTAAAAACTCTCTGCTCTTTGAAATTTTATTAATTTGTCTTGGTTCTGCAGGAGACTAATGCCCTTCAATAAATTATTATAAACTGAATTCAATACTCCTCCTAGTTTTCAGTAGAAATGTTGACCTCTTTTAAGCAACTCTATCCTACCTAGAAATGACAATTTTGAGAATATAGATTTAAATTTTCTTTACGTTTGTGTATTGTGACACTTTGAAATCGAAGACATACATGTGTGCATACAACATATGCGCACATAGGAATATGCACTTGTCATCTGATCTACAAAAGTCCCCAAGCCTCTTTTGGTGAAAGAAGAAAAGTATAGCATTTCATTTTAACTTTCTATTAGGTATGCCTAGTAGAAAATACCTAATCACATGCCTTTTTCTTTTACTACCATGTAGTGTCAATGAAAGTTATTCACATTGTTTTTTCTCAACCAACACAAAATCATGCCTTTCTGCCAGTCTTAACTCTCTAACAGAATGTTGATAATATCAGTAATCTCGAAGATTTAGATGCTCTCAATCTTTGAAATCAGTGTCCATAATCACTATATCCCTAGCTTAGATAAGTTCACAATAGTCTTAAATTGTGACCTCCTAAAATTTTTTTAAACAAATAGTATGTGATTTTCAACTTTCCATCAGTATGACAAAATACCTAAGGGAAAAAATAACTTAAAGGTGAAAAGATGTATTTCAGCAGTTCAGAGGTTTCAGTCAATGATGATCTGATTTCATTTCCTTTAGAACAGTGATGATGCCAAAGCATCATGGTAGAAAGATGTGACAGAGAAAAGGTGCTCATTCTATGGTATCCAGAAAGCACAGAGTCAGAGAGTCCTGAGAAAAGACAAAGCTTTCAAAATCTCTATTTAGAAAGAATGTCATAGAGTTGCATGGGAGGTAGCCTGCCATTACTTTCTCACTTTCTGCTTCCTCTTTGCTATGTGATGAGCAGCATCTTCCTGCCATGCCCTTCTGCCATAATGTTTCTGTCTAATATCAGGCCTAAATGCAATGGAGGCAGCTGCCTATGGGCTGAAAGCTCTGAATCTGTGAGCCAAAATAAGTCTTTCTTCCTTTAAATTGTTATCCTCAGGTATTTTGTCACAGCAGTAAAAAGCTGAGTGACACAGAAAATGCATATTGAGAAGTAGGGTCATTGTTGTGACTATAGTTGATGAGATAGCTTAGAAGATTTTAGGACTGGTTTGCAGGAGTAGTTTAGAAAGATTTGAAGATGTGTGCTGGAGAAGTTCTACAATGTTGTATGGATGTCTTAATGGAAAGTTCTAGTCTGAGCTTAGAAAACCAGAATACTGACATACGTACAATATAGACAAAAAAGACTATGTTAATGAAATTTCCACTGGGAATTAAGACTATACTTGGGACTAGGAATAGAGGTCATTTGTGTTACATTCTAGCAATGAACTTCTTTATATTTTTTCCATATCTGAGACTTTATGGGAAGCATGGTTTTTAAATGATGGATTAATTCATCTGGCAGAGGAAATTTCAAGTCAGCACAGCAGTCAGATTGTGGCATAGGTATCCTTGGCTGCTTTAGTCAGATTCAAAGTGAGAAAGTGGTGTAATAACCAGAGTAGAAAGGTTTGAAAACATTGCGCTTTGACCAGAAAAGAAGCCCTTGTAAAATTGGGACTAGGGAAGATATGGTAGCTAAAGAGATGAGTATCATTAAAAAGAAAGCAAATGCTTTGCACCTGGACAATAGGAAAAAATGCCTTGAAGGTATCAAAGGAGTTGCTTAGACATCACCCATCCATCTCAGGTTTAATGGTATAAAAGTACAGTCATATGGGCTCCAACCAACAAAGCCTTCATGGTGGGTCTGCACCAGTTCTTTGGAGCTCACACCATGTCAATATTTGCTCCAGATATCATACATGGAGCTATAGGGTTAATGTTTTATCTGCTGGGTTTTGGTCTTACTTTTTTATGATCCTTCTTCTGTTCCTATCCCTCCATTTAGGAATGGGAATTGTAACTTGTTTGACCATTGTATGTTGAAAAGATTTAAGTTTTTTTTTTTTCTAATAGTGGTCCACAGCTAAGAATTTGCCTTGTGACTCAGTAGAGACTTTAGACTTGACTACTCAGCAATGCTGAAACTGTTGAGACTTTGGGAAATAAATTAGTAATTTTAGTTATATCACAATAAGCAAAATTATTACGTTGTGTTTATTGGGAGATTAAGTATGCTTTAAGGAAATGTGATTAGGCATCAAATTGAGTAGGAATGGCTTGTGGTATTTAATCGTAATTGTCAATTTGACTAGATTGAGAAATGCCTTGGGAATTCTGGATGTTTCTGTGAGGATGCTTCCAGAGACAGCTGTCACATGCAGCAGCAAATTGAAAGGGGTGACCTGTCTTATACACTGGTGGCAAAATCCAATAGGCTGGGGTTCCAGGTAGAACAAAAGGTGAAGAAGGAGGAAGCCCACCAGCACAGGCTCTCTCTACTTCTTGTTCCCATGAGGCAACCTTTATTCCTTCACACCCTTTCCATCATGATACCATGCCTCCCCACAGCCTAGAAATGGTAGAGCCAAGTGACCATGGACTGAAAACTCTGAAACCATGAGACAAAATAAATATTTCCTTCAAGTTGACGTTCTCATGCATTTTTTTAACAGTGACAAAATCTAGCACACAATACTGATTTCACGTTTGTGTTTCAATTTTTATACCCTCAAAATATTTCCTGATGTGGTAATATATGCACTAAACAATTTTAGAAGCTAAATTTCAACAATGTAGAAGGTAGGAGAGTGCATTTTCTAGTAGGTAAAAGCAAATAAAATGACAAGTATAAGGAAAAGAGACAAATGATATGATCTGAATAAACAAGATCAAAATAAAAATGTATTTCTCTTAATACTGGATTTTTATTTTCAGATCCTTCACATGGAATAAAATATAGAAAGAATGAGACAGCTGTATTGGGAGGAAATGTGACTATTTTCTGCAATCTGACAAGTCCAGCAGACATTGTGCAAATTACATGGCAGAAGATTCAAAACTCTTTGACACAAAATATTGGCACTTACAGCAGTAAATATGGAGAAAAGATTCTTCCACCATACATAGGCAGGCTTCAGTGTAAAATCATTGAACCCAATTCATCATTCATAACAATCCAAGAAGTAACACTTGAAGATGAAGCTTGCTACAAATGTCTATTTAATGTGTTTCCACATGGCAGCCATGGAGAACAAATCTGCCTTAACATTATAAGTATATGAATGTTTTCTCTACTATTAAATTGCTGAGACAGAAATAATGAGGGTATGATATTTTAAGGTTGGTGTCCAAGGAAACAATTTTAAAGGATGAGAGAATAGTAGAAAAGATCCAGGCCAAGGTGTTTATTACCCAGAAGGTAAAGAAACTAATGATGATCAGGTGACTTGCCCATTCTTACACAGTTCAGGATCTTCTCCCCTCTCTTTTAAGCCTAGCATTGCATTGGCTTTCCTTGAGTGGGTAAAATTTAAAATGATAATTAGCATTTTCTTACTGGGGAGTTGAAAAAACTAAAGAAAGAAAAGAGATAGTAGATGACCAGAAAGTGGAAAGATGACAATTCTAAGAGAATAAGGATTTTCCATTCTTCAGGGGGAGAAAAAAAAACAATGTTGCAGAGCTAGTGGAAATGTCATAAAGTTCCTTTACTAAGCTGCTATACATTTAAAGTATTAAGGGTTTCAATAATGTAATTTAATGTTGAATGAAAGTTGAGACATGAATTGTTCCTTTCATATTGGAGGGCCTATCACTGAGCATGTAGAATAGTATTGTCAGGATTTGTAAAATACAAGAAGCATCTGAGAAGGGTATGTTTTCAACATTTTGACTTCATATAATAATTTGGGGGAGTCTAGTCTTTAACAGCATAGGAATCTGGTAGAATATACTTTCATATTAAATTTTGTTTCTTTCTTATTTTTACTTCAGTTGTATCTGAATTAATTGAACAACGATTCAATCACGACTCTGAAGGTTTTCTCAGCCTTTCATATTCAGCTGTAGGAAAACCTGCTCCTCAAATCTCTCTTTTTCCCTCACAAATCCTAATTAACCCTCCTGAGGAACGTCTTGTTCAAAACCCAAATGGTACAGTTACTGTCACTAAATCATACACCGTCTCTTTGGAGATGGTGGAGTCCTTGGGACTCCAACAGCTGGTTGTGAACATGGATCACCCTTTAAAGAATGAAGAGAAGATTGTTCCTCTCTCTGAAAAACAAGAATGTAAGTAGAAGTGATGGCTCATAAAGGGAAAGTATTTATCTTTCTTTAAAATTCACAACTACGAATCTTTGAATAAATCATTTATTTCTGAAGATGTAAATCAGTGTAATATACATGCATGACTAAAAGAATCAAATAATGAAGAGAATCTCCAATTAAACCTGCTCAAATAACCAGCTATTCTTGTACAGGGTAATATTTGTAATGGATCTTGACATTCAGTAGGCTGAATTTCTGTTACAATCACTGAAAATTATGTTCATTTATTCTTTCAACTTTCCCTTTCTTTCTTTCCTCCAACAGAGGATTTTTGCTGCTTACATCTGCAACTTCATGGATAAACCTGTCTCTTGTTTCATACAGCAAATAAAGTCTCCTTGGTCATCCTTTTCTTGTTCTCCTTCCTCCCAAGTTCTATCAACTGTATATTGATCTTCTTTTTTATATCCACAATTAAACAGGATAAGATTTTCTATAGCATAATTCTAAAAGTATGCAAATAATTATTTTCATAGTCCACCTAGTGATCTTTTACAACTAGAACCTTTAGCCTCTATTTACTATTAATAATACTAATTTTGGGTTTTAATCGATGTCATTATTGTTCATTTTCTATCATCTGACTTGTTCCTTTCCCTTTTTCTGATTTTGTTATTTATTGTCTTTCATTTTCTTTATCTATTGGTTGCTAACTATACATTCCTTTATTCCTCTCCAAGACACTGACTTAGAGATTTTTAGATACATCATGACTTATTAAAGCCCAATAATTTAGGACTTTTACCATTTCCCAACAATGCAATGAGCTTATATCAACTCTTTGCACTACTGCTTGTGCATTTTAATTCTTTACATCTAATTAAATATGAGATACTTTAATTGTTTTATTAATATTCATTTAGATTTGTCCTTTCTGTTACTTTTTACTTCTTTTCCCATGTTCAAACTTTCCTCTGGAATAAATTTTCTTTTGCCTAAAGAATTCTCTTTTGTTTCTAATGCAAGATTACAGACATGAAATTTTTTCAATTTTTTTTGTCAAAGAATGCTTTTATTTTTTAAGAAAATTTTGAAAAAAAATCATAATTTCAATTTGGATAGATTTTTTTTTACATCAATGTGACAAAGCCATTCTATTGGCTTTCTACTTCCATTACTTCTTTTTAAAAGACATGTCTTAGTTTTGTTGGTGCTTTTTTGAAAGAAACATATCTCTTCTATCCTCAATCCTGCTGTTCATAAGTTTTTCTCCTTGTATTTGTTTTTTACCTGTTTTATTATTATGTTCCTTAATATTTTGTTCTTTTTTATTAATTTAGCTTAGAGTTTCCTAGACTTCTTGATTCTAGATTACTATCTTTCAACACTTTTGGAAAATGTTTGATTCTTGTCTCTTCAAATGTTATTGCTGTCCAATTCTCATTTCTTTTTCTAGGACTCTAAAAGTATATTGAGTGGAAATAATTGTTAAATTAGATATATTAGTATTCAGGTCTCTTATTTTTTTCTCATGGTTTTAAACTAATTTTACATTTTTATACTTTTTTACTGTACACTGGACCTTATACATGAAAAATTATAGATACAATGAAGGCTCTGGGTTTTGGGGGGACAACAATAGTATTGACATAGAGTTCACATACAAGCTGCATACAATTAACCAATTTAAAGTAGACAATTCAATTACTTTAATATATTTATATAAAACATTTATATTACCCCCAGATAAACATTCTTTTTGGGTTTATTTTTATTTTTATTTTTATTTTTTTGGTACCAGGGATCAAACTTAGGACCTTGTGCTTGCGAAGCAGGCAGCGGAAGCACTGAGCTAAATCTCCGGCCCTGGGGGAGGATTTTTTTTGAGAAAAATACATAACAAAAAGCTCACTATAGTAAAGTCTACAACTCAGTGGTTATTAATGTCCCCATAGTCTTGTACACTAATCACCACTAATTACAGAACATTGATATCACTACAGTGAGAAACTGTGTACCTATTTTCAGTCACAAAATTCAATAAACAGCAATGAATGATGTTCGCATTCCCCAGTAACTACGAGTTTACTTTCTTTTTTGTTTTGTTTTTCGTTACAACCTTAATCCTGTTACTGACTCCCCTAATCTGTCCTCAGAGTACTCAGGCTCTGCAGTGGCTCTCAGTGCTCTGTGCAGGTGGAGTTCACCTTGTGAATCCGCCGTGCTGCAGGCTCTTTAATCAAGCACCTTCACAGCTCCTTCCTTTGTGCCCTTCACATCTTTTGAAAGTTTTTTTTCTTCACAATTTCTTCTTGTTGAAAGTCACCCTTTGGTAATGTTGTTTTACATTTGAATCTTTTATTTTTATTACTATAGTTTTAAAGGAGCCAAGAAAAATTAAATATAAACATTTGTGTTATGTCTGTCTTTGGCAGTTATTATTTTATGAAAAATAATACAAAATTTCATAACGAAATGATAAGAGTATAACAACAGTTAAAACTCCATGTTTCATTACCTTCGGAGTAGTTACTCAAGAAACAAGACACACAAAAGACTTTCTCTTACAAAGAAGAAACAACAGATAATAGCACAAAATTTCTTTTCGGTGGACTAAGAGAAATCAGTAGCATTAATGTAACAAATTAGGATATATACTAAAATGTTTTTGAAACAATGGAATAAGTAATTTGGGAATTATTTGAACATATCCTTACTTCCTATTTATCTATTTTCTATTTTGCTCTTTATTTGTATGTGTGTGTGTGTGTGTGTGTGTGTGTGTGTGTGTTTATGTATTGTGTTTCTCATATAAGAGAAACCATGAGATATTTGAGCTTGTGTCAGACATATCACTAAACATTATATTCTCAAGTTGTACCCGTTTACCCACCAGGGCCTCAAGATTACCTTTCTTTATGGTGGAGTAGTATTCCATTGTGCATAGATACTACACATTTCCTTATCTATCCATTTCCTTATCTATTGATGGACATATGTGCTGTTTCCAAGATCTAGCTATTATAAATTGTGCTGCTATAAACATGGGTGCACATGTACCTCTGTAATATGATAATAGTTAAAATTATCATAGAATTAAACTATCAAGAGTTAAACTTTTGGGAAGATAGCTTGAAGGGGAAAGCTGGGTCAAACGGAATTTTTATTTATAGTTTTTTGAGGAGTCTCCACACTGATTTCCACATGGTTGTACTAGTTTACATCCCCACCAACAATAGAAAATAGTTCCTTTTCCTCCACATACTTCCCAGAACTTGTTACATCTATCTTGAAATTGAAGTTAGTAAGCTCTTTTTCTGGTAAATTTCCCCAACTCATGAAATTGGAATATGCCAATTAAATAGCACGTGTATCTCTTATAATTTCTTGGCTATTATTATATTTATTATGGTATTATTATATATTATTGTGTTATTATGGTAAATTTCATTTTTTAAAATACAAATATCAATTCAGAATGATATTGTTCTTTCTTCTATTTTATCACAAATATTAGAGAAATTAATTCCTAATTCTTTTGAAATCTATATCAATTCAGAATGATATTGTTCTTTCTTCTGTTTTATCACAAATATTAGAGAAATTAATTCCTACTTCTTTTGGAATCTCATATAGACTTTTTCTTTTTTCTTTTGCCCATGTTTTGCCGTTGTTGACTTCAAGGATGTGACATTTTTGCATTATTTTTTTAATTCAGTCTCCTCTGCCTATTTAGAATGGCTATGTCATTCTAAGTATATCATTGAAAAAGAAAATCAGTAAAAACTAAAAACTAAGGCAAAATAATGTCTGAGCAGTCAAAAGTAAGGGGCACAAAGTTCTTGAATAAAAACACATACAATTTCCTAATACTATTTGAGTGAAGATGTCTCTCTTCTTTCAATGATAATGAAAAATTCAAAGCAGCAAATTTAAAAGTGGAAATTATTATTAGCATGAAATTAAGAATTTGTATGTAGGGAAATTAGGAGCACACACACAAAAAAAATTACGGCAAGAACTAAGAATCCAAAACAATATTTTATGCATTTAATGTAAGTGTAACTTTTCTTAAGGGCCAACATGAAATATGCATGTTTTTTCTATTATACCTAGCAGTAATCATTGACAATCATAATGAAGACCTTTTACTATGTTTAAGTCATAGTGCATAATATCAATTATATTCAGAAGTCTACACAGATAAAAGAGGTTTCTATAATACAATTTGAGAAAACTGGTCAAAGTAGCTATCTTTGAAAGTGTTGCTTTCAAAACTTTTGCACTTTTTTTTTGTAAGAGTACAGACTCTGGAATTAGAATTGAATTTGTTTCTCAGTTTGAGAAACATTTCCTAATTGCTTGGTATCTTTGTGTGATTTCCTTAAGATTACAGAGACTCCATTTCCGCATCTGTACCTAATAAGTATAATCACCCAGGTAATGTAAATAATCTTTATAAAGTGCTTATCACAATAATCTTCATTATTTATTATGTATTTATTTTCTGATGTTATTATAGGCTTTTTGTGAATTTCATAATAGTAATATAGTCATCAAGTCACTACATTATACTTTGCTTCACCATTTTCTGAATATTAATGTGGTTATATTCTTTTTTCTTATACCTGGGAATGATAGGATTATATTAAATATTATACACATTAATCTTTGAAGAACATATAGCAATTTGAATATATAGGTATGGGTATATTTTCTCATAAAATGGAATATGGCACATTGTCTGATAAGTTTGAACATCAGTGGAGCATTGATAAATCAAAAAAGTGTTGTTAATTACAGGTATGATATGGTAGTACAAAGTATAAGAAAAGAAAGTCACAAAGAACATGTATCTCATTTGTGTTTTTCAGGTTCTACTCCAATAGTAATCGTCATTATACCCATTTTTTTGTTTGTTGTGCTTATTATCATCATCATTTTCTGTATTGTTCAGAGAAAGAAAGAGTAAGTTATAGTACTACCTTTTTGTGATAGATAAGGTGGGTAAACATCAACAAGCTTTAAATATTTAAAAAACCTCTAAGAACTCTGCCAAAAACCGTCATGAAAAGAGCCCTGACAAAAAACTGAACATACTTGCTAGATCACACAGTCAAGTGCGTATTGTTGAAATAATATTTAGGATTGTGAGAAAGGTAGAGTGCTAGTAATAATTCATGTTTATGGTAAATTGAGTTTCAGATTCTTAGGATATAGCATGTGTCCCCAGGCAACTAGTGGGAAGGAGTCCACTTACTGTGTGGTGGAAAACATGGAGTCTGGATGTCTGAGCTAAGTGTACCTGCCTAAGCCATAATGGAGTGAAAGTGGTATTACTCTACAGGCCTAATGTAATAAAAAAATCCATTCATTTACTCAACAAATGCAGCTTGAGTGCCTCTATATTGACAGTCACAATCAAAATAGTTGAGTTTCTTGCCTTTAGGACCTTACATCCTAGTGGAGAGAAATAGACCATGGAAAGATAATTGGAAATAAGAAAATACCAGACAGTAACTACTGTTCAGAAAATAGAACAGAATGGTATGATTGAAAGAAACTGTGGGGCTATTGTAGGTTCCATGGCTTCTGGTGTCATTTCAACTAATATCTGAATCTCAAGAAAATTTGAATCTGAACCTTACAATTTTTTAATTTACAGCATACTTTACCATGTCCTGCCATGAGGGGGAGTGTTTGGGCTGAATTCATTTTAAGGATACACCAGTGTCATTGTATTTCTAGGTCAGACAATGTACCAGAACCATCCCCACAGCAGCCTCATGCGGACCCCTTATTGAACCCTTGTCATCGAACACAGAGGTAATTGGTAGGGTGTGATTTTTTTGGGGGGTGTTAGTATGTATTCTTCAAATTTAAAAGTAATTGTTCAAATTCAATCATGCTTTTGATAGCAGTAATGATAATTTTAGAAATAAATGGAAAGAAAGCTGTATGTAATCTAATTCCATGAAGTAGTAGATTCAAATGAGGTTACATTAACTTTTAACACCTGAAATATATTTAATATTATTTGGAAAATAATGCTTAATAAGGCATATGTACATTATTTTGGATTTTTGCTATAAAAATTCTTTTTACTTGATTATTTATATGAAGAGAATTTTCCCCACATCAATTACTTGATTACACTGAAGTACACTGTACAAATTAAAATGTATGCTGAATACTTGACTCTTTCTTTTTATTTATTTGTTTGTTTCATTTCACTGGTTGGTTGGTTTTGTTTTTATTTTTCTTCTGTGCCGGGGATGGATCCCAGAGGTTTACAGATGCTGGGAAAGGGCTCTACCACTGAGTTACCTCTGGCCATATGGTTTTAAAATAAGACATTGAACAAGATCCTAATGGGATAATTAAGAGTGTGAAATCGGAAGAAAAGGGCCAAAGGTGTAGGGAAAGTGGGAAGGGAAGGGGAAAGGAAATAAGGGAAAAGAGAAAATGAAAAAATGGAAATAAAGAGTTTGTAAATAGGGAGGGGAGGAGGGGGTGAAGGGAGGGAAGTGACAAGGGGGAAAAAATGAGAACCAAGAACCGTCATGTGAAGGTATAGGATCCCAGTAATGAATGTAACTGTATTGCAGACCTAGATTGTACCAATAAACTCAATAAAAAGAAAAAATAATAAAATAAGACATTGATATTCTAGTATCTTTTAAAGGTATTAAGTAAGGTACTGTTTTGTAAATTTATCTAGAATTTAAAATGTTTTAATCCTTTGTACTTTTTTCTTATGTGTTTTCAAACTGTATTGAGATGTTTTGGCTATACTACTAGTGAGTAATATATTCAGATGAAATGATACTGTGATAATCTGATAACCCAGATGACAGGTAAATGTCTAATGGATAGGTAACATTTACAGTGTAGACAGTGGGCAAAAGATGAACTGTAGGCAGGACAGAGTGAGGTGTCATAAGATTTTTTCATGCCACTCAGAGGGGCATGCAAATTTATAAGTTGCCTATTTCCAGATTTCTGGTCCTCTCTCTTTCATATTAATTTTAAATCTTTTCAAAATTAAAATTATTTTAATGGATATATATATAAAATCTCTCTATGGGGTACCAACTAATGTTTTATAAATGTATGTAATATGCAATGCTTAAATCAGGTTAATCATATCAGTTACTCAATTTCTTTATGGTGAAAATGTTCAAAAATTCCTTTAGCTAGTGTTTTGAAATGCATAATGAATTATTTTTATCTATAACCACTCATGTCAAAACACACTAGATTTCTTACCACTATTAACCGTGAGGTGGTACTCATTGATCACCCTCTCCTTATCCCTACTCTCTCCAGCCCCTCATAACCACTATTCTACACACAATTTCTATGAATTAATTTTTTTAGACTTGACATATGGGTGATATCATGTAGTACATATCTTGTGCCAGGGCTTATTTGACCTAACAATGATCTCCTGTTCCAATCATATCATTGTGAACTACAGAATTCCATTTTTTTTGATAAGTAATATTCCATTTTTGAAATGTACAGTATATTTTTTGTCTGCTCATCAGTTGGCTGATCCTTAGTTTGTTTTCATCTTCTGGATATTGTAAATAGTACTGCAGTGAAGAAGGGAGTGAATATGTCTCTATAACATGCCATTGTCATTTCATTTGAAAATATACCCACAGTGGTATAACTGGATCATACAATAGTTCTATTTTTAATTTTGGGGGGGAACCTTCATAGTGTTTTCCATACTGGTTTTACTAGTTTCCATTCCTACCAACAGTGTGCATGCACTGCATTTTCTTTTCTCCACATTCTTACAAAACCTTATTATCTTTTGTATTTTTAATTGAATTTATTGGTACATTCTAGGTATACAGTACAGTTGCATTCATTACTGGGATCTTGTACCTTTACAGGACAGGTCTTGATTCTCATTTTTTCCCCTTTTTCTCACCCTCTCTTCACCCCCTCCTCCACTCCCTACCTACCAACACTTTAATTCCATTTTTACATTTTCTCACATTTTTTGCCTTTCCCTTATTTCCCTTCCCCTACCCTTCCCACTGTCTCTACACCTTTAGATCTTTTCTTCCTATTTCACATTGCTAATTATCCCTTTAGGATCTTGAGTACTATTTTAGTTTTTCACACCAGAGAAACTATTCGGTATTTACACATGTATGACTTATTTATTTCACTTAGGAGTATATCCTCAAAATGCACCCATTTTCCTATGAATGAGTCTACTTTCTCATTCCTATGGCTGAGTAGTATTCCATTTTATAGAAAAACATCTTATTTATCCAGTTTCTAACTGATGGGCAAATGGGCTGTTTCCAAGTTTTACCTACTACAAACTGTGCTGCTATAAACATAGGTGTGCATGTGTCACTGTGATATGATTATTTTAATTCTTTTGGAAAGATACACAGCAGAGGGATGGCTGGGTCAAACAGAACCTCTAGTCGCAGCTCTTTGAGGTATCTCCATATTGATTTCCACAGTAGTTGCACCAGTCTGCACTCCCACCAACAATGGAGAAGGGTTCCTTTCTCCCCACAACCCTGCCAACATCTGTTATTGTTTGATTTCTTGATAGCAGCCATTCTTTGTGGGGTGAGGTGGAATCTCGTTGTTGTTTTCATCTCTATCTCTTGAATGACCAGTGATGTGGAACATTTTCTTTTGTATTTTTGACAGTAGCTATTCTTACTTGAAGTGAGATGATATCTCATTGTGCTTTTGGTTTGTGCTTTCCTGATAGTGATGTTAAATTTTTTCATATACCTGTTAGCCATTTGTGTATCTTCTTTTGAGAAATGTCTATTTAGGTCTATCATCTATTTTTAAACCAGATTATCTGTTTCGTGCTATCAAACATATCAAAATATATCAAAATGTATTCTGAATATTAACCCCTTCTCAGATGGGTAATTTGCAAATATTTTCTCCCATTCTATAAATTTTGTGTTCACTCTGTTGATTATTTCTTTTGATGATTAGAAATGTTTCAATTCAATATCATCACATTTGCCCATTTTTATTTTTGTTTCCTGTGTTTTTAGGGTCTTGTCCAAAAATTTCTTGCCCAATCCAATGGCCTGAGCAGGAGTTTTCATTTTTCCTCTAGTAGTTTCATAATTTCAGGTCTTACTCTTAAGTCTTTATTCCATTTTGAGCTGATTTTTGTAACTGGTAAGAAATGGGGATCTGGTATCATTATCTTGCATGTGGATATCCATTTTTTCTCAGCACCATTTCTTAGAAAGGCTATTCTTTTTGCAGGACATGTCTTTAGCACTTTTGTTGAAAATTGGTTGCATATATATTTATGAAAGTTTAGCATCTCTACTCCGTTCCATTGGCCTATGTGGCTCTTTCACATAACTGTCATGCTGTTTAGATTAAAACACATTTATAATATGTTTTGCAGTCAAAAAGTATGTTTCCTTTGCTCAAGATGGTTTTGCCTATTTGGTGTTGTTTATAATTCCAAACAAATTTTAGGACTGCTTTTTCTAGATCTGTGGAGAATGTCATTGTTATTTTGGTAGAAATTGTATTGAATTTGCAGATCGCTTTGGTTAGTATAGACATTTTGACAATATTAATTAGATCAATCCATGAACATGGTATATGTTTCTTTTTCTTGAGCCTTCTTCATTTCCATTTATCATTGTAGAGACTTTCACTGTAGAGATTTTGGGGACCACTGATATCTTGTTAGTGCAATCACCCTCCCCAGCACCACCACCACAGGTATGCAATCCACTCTTTCAAGTCTTTCTGATAATCTTTTCAGGAAGTTTAAAAAATGTCTTTCTGTAGGTTTGTGTAATTTTGGCTGAGCTAATTCCATGGTACTTTTCATTTGTTCACTATAATTAATAACATCTTTTTTGTTTTCAAATGAAATCTGGCTGGTTGTTAGAGGTTCAGGGAAATTTCTGAATTTTAAATGTTAACTTGTGTGTGGAAACCATGGTAAACTCTGTGATTCAAAGTTTTCTTTCGATTCTAACAGTTTTCCATGCTGATGTTCATCTCTCTTACAAATAACAGTGGCTTGACTTTCTCCTTTCCAATCTTTACATCTCTTTTTCAATGTTACATAACAAAGATAACAAAATATTTTGCTTGTTTCTGAATTTAAAGACAGTATATAAAATCCTCTACTAAGTATTACATTTGATGCAATTTGAACATTAAGCATATTATTGAGGGTTGGAAAGTTTATTATTCCTGTTTCCTTTAGTGTCATTATAAATAGGTTGTTAAAATTAAGAAGTAATTTTTCTATTGAGATAGTCATTTGTATTTTCTGTATAAGAAAATATATTGATAAATTTTCTAATGCTAAACTATTATGGAATTATTTTTCTATATGTTTTTAAGTAAAATTAGATAATAATTTCATTTTTTTGGTATTATCCTTTTCAAGCTTTGAAATTAACATAACACAAGCTTCAAAGAAACAAATACATGATTATATATTTCTCCTTTTGGGAACATATATTTAAAATAGTGATTTCTATTCTTTATTATCTTCAGAAGTCTGTGCCTTATTTTGCATAGGAAACCTTTAATTTCAACTGAATTTCTTTCATAGTTATTAATCTGTTGATTTTTTAAAAAATTAGGACCAATTTGTTGCCCTCAGAAATATATTTATTTTGTATGATTTCAAATGTTTATTATGTTTATAACATTGTATTTTGGGGGTTTTTGTTTTTTTGTTTGTTTGTTTCTTTCTTTCTTTCTTTCTTTCTGGTACCAGGGATCGAGCTCAGGCCCTTGGGCTTGCAAAGAAGGTGAGGTTCCAAAGAGCTAAATCCTTGGCCCTGTCCTGTTATTTTTATTGTTATATCATTTGCCCTTATTTTAAAATCCACATTGTGTTTACTTTTATCTTCTGTTGAGATAGTAAATCATGCCACACATTTGTTGAGTTGACCTATAGAAAAAGTTCCCATATTTTTCAGTTTTTATTCATTTTTGTTGATACCTGCTCTTTGTTACATTATACCCCTTTTTCTCATTTTATTGAAAATCCTGCTTCTTTTGCTCAACATTGGTAACCAATATAGTCAATGTAATATATTAATTCTGAATACTCATTTATATCTGTCTGAAAAGTTTAAATGCAACTCTTTATTTTTTTGAAAAGTATTATTAAAGCAAATTTCTTTTTTTTAGTAAAGAATTTTAAAGCTATTTTTTAACTTCATGATGGGAGGGATATTTCCCCCTCTTTTGTTCACTCATCTGTGTCCCAAATCTCTAGCTTCTGGGTTTTTAATCTATTTGAACATTGTAATTTCTTATGTAAAAGAGCTTTTTTTCATTCCTGGTTTTCATATTTTGTTTTTGTAATTTTTCCTATCCTGTCATTCATTAAACAATCCTTTAGTTACTTTAAAAAAGTAACACCTATGGTTATTATTCTGCTGTTTTCTCCTAATTTTCCAAGGATGGTACAAATTCTCATAATTTTAATGTCAATTTCTTAAATTTTCCAACATGCATATCTTAACATAATTCTCCCTTTTCCTTATGATCTCATTTTCTAATCTACATTCCTCTTCCATGTATATCTGACTTGTATATTACAGAGATACAATTTTTGTAGCCTTGCTTTATTATGCAATAATACATTTTTGATAAGTTATTTATCCTTTTCATGTATTTTGAAACCTTTACTTGGATTAATTTAGAATTTCTTTAGAAAATGTTTTCAAGGAGAACCTTTAAGACATTTTCTGAGAATGATATATGTAACAACTTTTTTTCATTTAATCTTTATAAAATCTAGGACCAAGACTTTCAGATGTAACAAATCAAGAAACAGTAAAATATTATCTACCCACATAAAAAAAATATAAGAAGGGGCCAGGGATTTAGCTCAGTGGTTCGGTGGCCTGCCTTTCAAGAGCAAGGACCCAAGTTCAATCCCCAGTACCAAAAAAAAAAAAAAAAGATATAAGAATAACTTAAAATTTAAGCAATAGGAAAGTATATAGCAAAAAATCAAACATAATCTAATAGAATGGTGTATGTGTGCTTATGAAAAGACATATATGAGTGTTTATAATACTACTATTTAAAAAATTCAAATTGGAAAACAGACAAATGCCTATTAAGCGGTAGGATGGGAAAGGGAATGAATAAAGGGATTAAAATGTGTTACATACATGTTCCAACTCCATACTGGGAATGTAAACATTATGTACCAATAAAGAAAATAATCTTTTAAAACAGTAGAATAGGTAAGTAGCTGTAATATACACAACATTACAGACTAGAATACCACACAACAGTGAAAATGAAATACAACTACTATATATGCAATGACACAGATGAATTTTTCAAATCTACAATTGGGGGAAAGAATCCAGACACAAATGAAGGCTTACTCAGTGAAGTATTTACCTCAAATTTAAAAACACTAAGCTTAGTTTGTGAAATTCGGGGTAGGAGTGCATTACCCAGCTAAGTACAGCAGGAGGCTGTGCTGTGGAGAGCAGTGAGGGTTTTGTGCAGCACCTCTCAGAGGGATGTGGTGAGTCAGACAGGGCTTTAGGAGGTGAGCATTCACTAATCTATGTCTTTTTCTTTTGTTTAAGATCCAAGAACTCTGGAACCTGATTTTTTAAAAAAATCCTCATCATTAATAAAAATAGACGAAAACTCAGTAAAGAGAAAAACTGATTACATCATGAAAAAAGTCATTACAAAATTGATTTCTTGAATGTATAATTTTGAGTTTAAAATAATAAACTTGTTTATATATAAAAAGTTTTCATTGGTTAAATTCAACTTAAAAGTACTTGGTACTTCTGCTACAAAAGGCTGTTGACTAAACAACTCACGTTTTCCACCTCTGACATTTCCTTTCTCAGTACAAATAAAAGGAAAAAGAGTGACTTTTACTGACAGATTCCCCATCTCAGAAAAGTTGTCTCTCTCCCTCCCCCTCCCTCCC